AACTTTTATTTATGTACGCGTAAAGTAAATAAACTCTTATTAATTAACTCGTGATATAGAGCAAACATTATTACATATCTTTATAATGTAGTCTTTCATATGTTTAAGGCCACTAGTAAATCTATACTAATGTAATAAAGCGTAAACACACACTTCTTTGTTGCCTAAGATGTCAGCAATTACAGCATATTTTTGAATAACTCTGTTTTTAATAAAAAAAAACTCTACACTTACGTCACGCTTTAGGCTATATATTTTACGCCATTAAACATACAGTTTAAAAAATATTTTAGATAAAAACCCTAATGTGGGAAAGAGACCATAAGTTGCTGCCAACATCAAGGAAGCAAGACTGTCAAGGTTGTTGATTTTGACATTCGCTATTGATAATTTGACAAATGTAAACAATAGATTAAAATTTTCATAACTTCATGCGGATGAAGCCGCATGGGAACTGCTAGTAATATAATAATCGCGATAAATATATAACTAAATCCAATAATTAGCACTTTCATACACTTAACTCATGTCTTTGCTATCCATGTATAATCGTTTTATTTTAAAAAACGTCCGCATGTTATTATAGGATTAAAAAAGAATGGGATAAAAATGAAGTTGGGCGGAGCCGTGCCGTCCACGATCACACCCAACTGATTACCAAAATACATTAGTCATAATGACCTTTTAAATGGAATCTTATTCTCGGAATATTTTTTTTACCAGTTAATAGCTGAGTAATTTTTAAGAATCGAATATTTATAGCCCTTTCGATGTAACACGAAGTTACAAAACATCAAAGTGTATACAGACTTTAGTAACGAAGCGAACTAAAACGTACAAGCGTATAAACATTGAGTTGTGACATTTGTAAGGGAATTACTTTCTCTATCATGTTTTTCCTCGTGGGAAATTCCTGGTTTATTACGTTACATACAAATATTATTTATTAGGTCGTGCGTATATTGTTTTGCGTTGCTTTTTGTGTTATTCTTTGTATTTATGGAATTTATTCAGGTATACAGTTCAATGGTTTATTTCCATTAGGCGGATATTAACGAATGCGTGACATGATATATTCCTTGATAAATTTGCATTTGAGCGGAGTTGTGTCGAAGGGTTCTCTGTACGTTGCACTCTCGAAAACGTTGAACTCCCTCCTTATTAATAACTCTCATGGGCCTGATGTTTGTTTTAGCTCGGGGCACGTTAGGTAATGCTGAAGTTGATTCATGAATGGGAGAGTGGCTCGTGCCTGCTCCGCGACCGCTCGCTTAAATTTAGCAAATATAATTTTCTCGGAAATACATCATCTTAGAAGCTTATTACGTAGTCGCTAAAGATGTGTTATAGAAATTTAAAGCTTTGATGTTTGAAAACCTTTAATGACACTTCCATTTTCAATAACAGAGTTTCAATATTAATTCCACATAAATTTTTAACTTGGGTTTTTTAAAATATTTGGTTCAAAAAATAAACGTTTAAAAATCGAAGCTGAAACTGTCTTTGAAAACTATTCACCTTAACGTTAAGCTACAAGTTTGTACGTTGCAGTTATCTACATCTATTATACTTTTAAAACGCGAACCGATATCGATCGCTCGTTATAAATCACTTTAAATAACGAGCCTTAAATTATTCAATGGTTGCGGTATTTCATATTTACAGCGTCGCACTAAATATTGTTATCTCACTATGATATCTGGTGGCATCGGGCTACCACCATGTTGCCTCCGGCAGCTTTATCGCTTCAAATGAATGGACGCGATACAGAATAAGCGGCCAATTACCGGCCGGCCTAGACCGCGGGATCCGCGTCTAAATAATTGTGCTCACGCGCAGATAGTGATAAATTTTCCATTAGATCAACAGCGCCTGCGTGGCAGGGGTTCGCCGGCCAATTGCAACAACTAACGGTTAGATTTACGTGACAATTATTTATTGAATGTTTCTGTACGGTTACTTGTAACATAGAAAACTATAAAATGTAGGTACATAGATTCAATCTGTAAGGAGGAGAGATTTAAGAGAGTTAAATAAATATAAAAAGTAGCATCCACATTCCCCTAATCTTAGAAGTCAAGAAAGCAACCCTTAATCTCGTCTCACTCAAGTCAAGAACTACTACTCACTTGTTAATTATAATGCAGGAATGTCCCTTAAGCGTATTCAGTTTTTTCTCTGGTAAAAAGTAAACTACATACTACAGAAAATAAAAAATACTTGGGCAAAGTTATCAAAACGATTTGATCCAACAATAGATATCCATTAACCTGTTTCGTCGCAGTGAGAATTGCAAGTCTTAAAGTAAACGTTCGGCATTGTTCAGCGATACGGAAAAACGTTTCGCAGGCGGCGGCGGCGCCCCTGGCCGGTCGTATTTCACCCCGGTTCAATATTATTTCGACAGAGGCACAAAGAGGAGAAAGAGGGCCGGTGCCGACGCCGCGGGCGCTCGCCTATCGCGCACCGCTCCACAATATTGTCCTCTACTCTGCTGCCTCGGGTTACACAGTAAATATTTTTCGGCGGTTGCCTGATTGAAAAATTTTATCACATTCCATCCCTCCCACCAGGACGCATCGAACGATAATGGATCGCTTTAGCTTTTTGACATATCTGATACGGGTCGAGAAAACATTTTCAATTTTGGTTTGTTTACATTATTCGAATATAGCGGAAGGAAAAAAAATTCTCTATTAGCTGTCATGTGCTTATAACACACTTTGACTAAAATCTGTAATTTTTTATGAAGTAAATTAAGTTTAAAATCTAGTGTGTATTGTATGGATTGTGTATACCATCGACAGAAAATACTATCTAAGTGATACCAATTTGTTCCATTCCTTCACGCCTTTTTGCCCTTCCAATATCCTCGTAGAGCTCATTATCACTAACCATCAGGCGGGATGGAGGTCAAGCGTCGTTTAGTCAATACTATGTATAAGAAATCTTTTGAATTAATCGTAATGGACTTCATTATTTCCCCCGCAGTCTTACCTAAAGATATAAATGGGCCCATTACCAGCATCTCTTCGATCTGGGCTTAATGAATGACAAATAAGATCCATTTCACAGCGATCAATAAGACATTAGCGCTGCTTTATCTCATTTGAATTCCCAATGCTGACTGACTTCATTTTAGTGTACGAAATTTTAGTATACGTAATTTAGGTTCGTATAATTCAGACGTATTCCCCACTCGATGTCACAGTGGAGCTAATAAAACTTTATCGTCCGTATATAATGATGTTGACATTCAAAACTAAGCTTGTATTACAATAAAAATGCAGTAAGAAGTCTCATATCGAGTTGAAGACACTCGTAAAAATAAAGTGAACGTAGAAATTGTACTCTACTGACGGTGGCTCATTACGAGAAAATTGCCGTGTCGTGTATTGACGATACGGGAGCTAAGTGTGGGACTTGGAACAGAGTGAAATATAAACTCAAGAAATTAAATGAGATTTTTCTAAAATAACATTCAATATATCAGTTTATTAAAATAACTAAAAGTCCTTTTATACACAAAGAAAACACGTCTCTACTAAGTTAATATATATTCACTGATCAATCTTACTTGAAATTGTATTTCATGTTGTTTTATAATTATAAATAAAGATATTTTACTGGTTAATGTTTATATACTATTTTGTTCGAAAGTATTATTTAGAACGATATCAAATAAATAGCAGGGTTCACACTACACTACCCGTATCCCACATTATAAATCCCCTATCTGATCAAGCCCTCTTCACATTTTGTCTCATATCAATTTTTGCATGGCTCATGAAATTTAGTACGAAGCGTAACGGACTTGTTATATTTTATCACTGAAGCACGCACAGTTTCGATTTCAGCATTAAAACGAACCATTTGATGAACCCGCAATTTATTACCTAAAATAATTTCCCAAATGAAAACGCCCTTCTGATATTTTTGACGGTTATTATAACAACGGGTGTGCGGTTAGCACAGACGGTTTGTTTTCAATTAATTGGTAATTGATTCTTGTAATGTATCTATATTATACGGAGTCACGAACGAATATGGTTCACCCTCGTATCGGACCAAAATTCAATTTCGAAAATTTCATTTAACACATTAAAATTACCGAAAATGGAATGAACATTCTTTAATGAAAAAAAAAAAACATTTTAAATATTTTACAAGTAATTGCGTAACAGTTTTATTTGCATGACTATAGTTTACATAAGAAATTTGATGACATGACTATCTTAATTGGTTAGTTAGAAAATTATTGTGTGTGTTTGTTTAAAAATTGGTTGTCGTCGAGGTCTTCAAATAAACTCCATTCTATTGTAAGGTTTTCCAAAGTCTGCACACTCCATTGGGTCCCGCTGAATGATATTAGGCCATTGGTCACCTTCTAAGCATCGGTTGAATTGCGAAGATTAGAGATCTTTTTCACTAAGCAACTAGTAATTCTGGTTATTCTAACATCAGACCATGACACATATTATTACTAGTATATCGCTCATAGAATCATTAGTCGTACACTGCCAGAGACGCACTGTTAGTTGCGCTAGTGAAAAAAGGGTCTTTCAGCTCGGTCGTTGAATATTTACAAAGGTAACGACTGTAACGCCCTCTAATACTCAATAATATTTAATGGAATTTGACTATTACAAGACATAAAACTGGTATTAATAAGAAAAGGGTAATCGTAGAATCAAAATTATTATAAATGGTTTTAGAAGTATAATATTTAAATCTTTGTAAATGTAATATTTAAAATATTTTGAATTCTGATGATATCGTAACTAAAATTCAAGATAATCGTTATAAGATTTAATAGATCGTAATACGTTAGGTATTCATATTTAACGTTCCCTTCGAATCGTCAACCCTTAAGAATGAAAACAGATTAATATATCTCAGAGCGTTTGGATGTTATTGGTGTCTCTAATTACGTTTATGGGTCGGATGGAGTTATGGTAATGTTCGTCTGTGCCGGCTCTGTAGATGTCACTGATACTTACGACTCGGAATTTAGGGTCTGTAGGGCGAGCCATTCGTTAGTCACGCCCGATGACGTGTACCTTGGACAAGACCAAAACTGTTATTAGAATAATTTCCAACGTTTTTCTCAGGTACTTGTCAGTGTGGTTGTTTTTACTACAAGTAGGTATGTAGTTAGTGTAGTATGTAAAAGTAACTTTTTGTTTATGCACCGAAAAAAAATCAGACTGTTAATTTAACTTTGTCTTTTTTAAATTGTGTAGCGACTTTTAAGCTTTTAAATGTTCAATTGAGATTCATTTCAATGATGTGATGTGCTTGCTTTTTTAAGTTGTTTTTTTTTTGTTTAAATTCCCTTAAGTAATGTGTAAATCGCAATTGTGCCGTTGCTCTTTTAACGTATTTTATTTTTAACCTGTGCGCCGTGCTTGCTACGGTCGTAAATAAAACAACAAAAAGACATTCCCTGGTATCGTACCTATGTGTCTTCCCTTAACTGCACATTGCGGCAAAATGCATGAATTTCCGGACAGAAACAAAGGCACTCGACACGCGAGGCACGCGGTACCGCGAACTCCTGAAGGGTAAAAAGAAAAGGCGTTTCGTGGTAAAAAAGTAAGTTAGGGCGAAGCTTTGTTTGTGTTCTCTACGGGCCGAGTGTTTAGATAAGTGCAGCGGAGAGCGTGCAGCGCGTTTGTTATCTTTCGAGTATGGAACTTAGACAAATGGATCCATCCTGTGTGGTCCGCCCTTTGGATGACATGCACGGAAAATGGAACTGTATGGTAAAAACACGCGACCAATATTGGATACAAAATTGTTATCAAATATTAGCTTGTTTGTTGGAGTTTAAATGTTCATCCACTATAAGTTTATCGTTATGCGTTGATACGTTTACTTCTTGATTTGTTTCCTTTTAGTGAATGCTCAAAGTTTAAGTAATGTTATCATTATTGCCTTTGCCATGTTTTCAATAGTATTATTTTATTTATCTACAATAATTCCGTACCTAATTTTGAAAAGGAATAAATAGCAAGATTTATAATTGAATATATATTCACGCGAGTCCGAATGGAATTGTTATGCTTGAAACCAACAGGAATTTGTATTGGTTATCATTAAAACATGATTTGCAACGTTTCGTAAAGATGTCTCATTCAAGATTACTAAATACGGAGATGAATAAGTAACACATGTATTTTATTCTAACCTTTTTTTTTTGCTAAATTTTAATATCATAAAATTAAAAACTGTAATCTAAAATTTGATTTATTAAAGCTACAAATTCTAGCGGATTAAATAGTCACTTACATAGGATATTAACTTCCTCCGTGATGTATTGTGCTTCCCCATGTAACCCAGTACCCCGGAATTAGATTAATTCATGGGATCGTTTCGTGACCGCTTTTTTACGACGCAGCTTTTAGGACTGTTTGTTTACACGACGCGGAGTAAGACTGCGTATGGACTTCTGATACATAAATATTCAAATTAGGAACGAAATAAATCCAAGCGAGGATGTCGACATTACATATTACCGCGGTCATGCCAACCGCCTATTCATTACAGTTATTTATAGGAGGCGGTGTCAAAGCGAGGTTTGTATTTATTCGGTCGGCAGGGCTGTTTGTTTATTTTTGAAACGGGTTAAGCTAAAATACCCCGTGCCGATAAGCGTCCGGTGCTGATCTACCATGTGCCAGGACCACCGAAATATCCCGCGCGTTGATTCCTGTGATAGATACTGACGTGACACCGCCACACATTGAGTATGCGTCGCCTGTCATACACAAATATTACATCCTATATTTAGAACTTCATTATTTTCTAAGAATGCGTTCAATGACCTTAGATACTTAAGGATGAGATTTTTCATTCTGATATCAGTAATAGTAGGCTAGTTAGGAGGACCTAGTCTTCATTTGTTTTATAAATGGATACTAGGTGCTCGAAGCTTGTAGTTAGGAACACCCAACAAATTGACTAGAAATGGCATTTTATATGAAATTAAAGCAAATGACACGTCTATTTCTTCTTTATTCTTTGTTATTGTATTTCATTGACCTTTTGACATATAAATGAAAGTAATTTATTATCCGTACTCTTATGTTAAAACTGTTCATTTTTAACAGTAAATTATCGATAATGTAAAAGCTGAATTGTAAAGCTGACTTATCCGAGAATAAAACGACATAAATTACGATTATTTCTTTAAAAAAGGTTGTTTGAATACATAAATAATAATGTAAAGAGAAGTTTAAAAATTGATTTGTCCGGAGAGGCCTGCAACATCATACATATTTATCTATTGCGGGACTTAGTTGAATATTCGACACGAAAATCTTAAACAATGTTCGAACGGAAGACGATTACAAAAGCTGGCATCAGTAGCGCATAGAGACGAACCCAATCAATATTGGATGGAGACAATAGGCATCTCTTATTCAAAACGGAAACTATTACAGTATCGTCATTGTATTCACGAGGCCTCACCTCCACGAGTGAATTATTCAAACGAAAGTGGTTTGTTTACTACCATAAGAAGATAAGCAAGGGTTTGGTTGGTTTTGTTAGCGTGTGTGTATGTGCGTGTGTGCTGTACACAAACACACAACTAGCTGATAGCTTCGGAACGCAGTACGCTGTCGATCGATGTCAACTTGAAAGATTTATGTCCAACTTTGTGACAGCGGGGTAGTTGTATACAATCCTGGATTATCCTTTGCCTTAAACACAACGTCACGCTTTTATGATTATTTTGAAGGCAATCCGAGCGAGTTTGTTTACATCATACTTTTTTTTTAAACAAAAAAACAACATTGTCCTTAAAACCTAGTAGGCAAAGAACAATCATTTGTTAAATTTTCTTGAAATTAAAGTTTTTATTTAATATACCTTTTGGCTATGAAAAACAAAGTACAAATTGTTTCTGTTGTTACGTAAAAATTAATTACTTAACATTTTATACGCTTGTAGAAAATATCCTTTATGCAACAGTTTGTATTTTCCATGATAAAAATTTCTGCATAAAATATAGTTCAACGTCCCGTTACAGATCACAAGCCTTTATTCACAATAGAAATATTCGAAATGTAGGGCGGCTGAGCTCCAGAATGGACATAATACACGCTTCCGAATATCTTTCCCGATGCGCAGGTTTCCTTCCCGTTCACTCAACGCCGAGTAGCTAATAAATCTGTACTAAAAATTCCAAACCGAAAATAGAAACACACGTGTATTTCGTAGCGTCGAAACTTACAAAAAGCATGTGAGGCAGTATATAGCAAACTTCTAACTACAGCTAAAGTTAGAAAACGATTCATAGCAATCAAAACGTTATTAGATGATTATTTTACCTCTTAATTAAACCACTTATTGCTTTCTCAATATTACCAATTTGTAACATAGCAATATATAAATAATATTACAGCTGTAAACCAAGTTTATTAAAGTTTTATGAGACATTAATGAACTATATATTTCAAAGTTTAGTATACAATTCTTGTAGTGGGCGACACTAACAAAGACCAGATGTCTCGACGTAATCGTGAAGCTCGATGGAGGCAATTATGAACGATTGAAGCGGCAAGATTCAGCTAAATGAAATGATTGTGTCGATATTGTGCATTAATGTTGAAAGAAGATAATTGAATTTCCTGTGGCGACCAGTGCGTGGTTTGTAGTGAGCGGTGTCGGTACATCTCTGCCCCTTTTATCGTGCGCATAAGAGCTCGGCACGGCGCTGCCTTGATGGGGCGTTTCCTCTAATTATTCGGCCTATTAATAAAAAGATGGGCTCTGCTTCAGAACAATCGATAACTGTGTTAAGCCGTTGAAAAGCATTAGGGAGAAAACTTAACTTATTAAATGTAAGCGGTGTGAGAGAGATAGCAATACTTCGTTTAACTGAGAGAAGAATGCTTGTAGTGGCGATATTTTTAAGAATCTAAATAGAATCAAGTGTTTTAGTCAAGTAGCGAGGGGATAAGAGGTTTTGTCTGTTCGTTATCCACTGATATTTTTTTAAAAAACTCTTTAAGCTCGTCGTTAAAGTTTATATATAAAATTTAATTTATTTTTAAAGAAAACCAATAAATATGATGTACAAAGTTACTCTTTATGACATCAGATAAATTGACTTAGGTACAGTATCACGTAAAATAACTTCAAAAACATGTTGTTAATTTAACTTAATTTTGTCTCAAAGAGATACTATCTCTCTTTTCCACATAAACACAATCTTAAAATTTAATTAAAAACCCAAAGCATCTACAGTCAAGAAAACTATTTAGCCAATGGTCTTTAAGACTAGTCTGGTCCATTGAAAGCTTGCTGTCAATATTGCGCAAAACTAGAAGCGTCTAACTATCTTCAATTACTACCTAATCACTACTGTTCTGTCTGAATCGAACAACGGACTAGTTTAGCGGCTTGACTAGACAAGCTTTATCATTCCAGTGCGTGGGTAATGATTGCAAAGCCTGTATTTGCTACTCCATTATACACGTGATTTAATGGAAGGCATTGCTCGTATTTCCATTAGCGTTTGATAATGTTTTTCAACATCAATGAACAGCTTTTCGATATTGCGTAAAGGTAAATAAGGTCTGTGTTTTTTTATAGTTTGATAAGATAGCAAATTAATTCATCTTTGATAATTTCATTTAAATTCGCTTTTGATCTAATTTTGTACTTTATAAGACTGACATTAGAGTAAAATTATGGTTATTCAAACAAATTATTTATCCGGACATAATAGATGAATATAATAAAAGAAATAGATGGAGTTACACTTATCTAGTTACTTATTCTTTGTTCAAATATAATTTATTAACGTTTATAATTTAGTTAAAATAACAACTTACATTAAAGAAATAATGTAAATGGGTACAAAGTAAACTTTATATGTGCTTCAATATTTTATTTATTCCAATCCTCCTTTTGAATAAGGTATTCATTCGCCAATTCCTTTTAGTCTACTCGATTTTTTGGATTACCATATTTAAGGCAGAACAACATTCGATTTCTTATTTTGGATCGAAGTTGCGGCTCGTCCCTTTGTTGCTTCAAACAGATTTAGCTTGAAATTATGTATACAGATTTGACCGTGGAGTCCTCAGTTGAAGGCAGAACAAGTATTGCGGGATTTAAGACCCTCGCGGTTGGATTTCTGAATAGCACCACAGTATAAAATATTGCACAAAATTAATTACTTAAAAATATAACTTTAAAGTATCATGTAGAATGACTTCTAAGAATCAGGTGCCGATACTGTCCTGGACATTAAAAAACTCATCCATCGTTTTTTAAACTAAAATTTAAAAAGTTAAGGAGAAATTTAAGAAATATGCTAATTATATTAAATAAATTAATATAAACAATAAGCAGGTTGTATTTCAAGAAATATTTCTACAAAGGCAAAAGATATTTCAAAATTTTGAAAGTTAAAATATACGATGTAAAAGATTTCGTGAATCTGGTTTGCTTTTCAACTTTTGAGAGTCCGTTTTATTATTCACAAACTTGAACGCTACGGATAGCTGACTATGAAAGTACCTCCGAAGGTTTTTTGAATAACAACTTTTATTTACTCAATAACTATTCCGAGTTTAGAGTAAAACAATGATTTACAATTTAAAGGGAAATTTACCTTACGATGTTATTCTTATCTCTGTATTTCCAAGTGGTATACAATGACTGTATTTGATACAAGTGTATACATGTACCTTTATTTTCTGTGTCTAACCAAAGAGTTAACTGTCAGCTTGTATTTGTTTACACCAAATAAATGTATTAATGATAGGACAGGTAAGGGCATGCACTTTACAGCACTTCCTTATTTGTTGGTGCGGCGAAGCGCGCCGAACACTTAGGGGCGCCAAACGATGCTATCTGCCGCCCATTGTTGCGTGCACTTAACCGTCGCTATATGCAGTTGACTTGCTGTGCCTTGTTAGCACGTTGTAAAGGAAATTACATTCTTTATAAAACAGCTCGTAGCGGCGAGGAGTCTATTTTTTAGTTTCCGTTATCGATCACTGCACTAGCGTGTCCAATTGCTATCATTAACTAAGCTGAATTGTGAATGTTTGTCTACCCTTTCAGTATGATGTAAGCAATTATGTACTTGTATATTTTATTTATGGTTGATAAACTGATGTGTTTTTAGATTATCTACTTTAATATTTTAAAAACTTTTAGAACTAACTTTTTTGTAATCCATCTCCTATGTTGTTTGCTACAAAAGTATTCTTTTATATTTGCGCTTTGTAATGTAATACGAAAGGTAAAAAGAGAAATAACAAAAGAACCGTTTGGTCTGAAATAAGGGAACAATGTGTTCTTTTGGCAATAATGCGGATATTTTGCATCAGTTTGTGTTGTATTAATATAAGGGATTTGCCCTCGGTATCTGTCCAAATTAAGCCGAGCGGCGATTGGGGTGTCGCAGATGGCAGTAACTGCCGAATGTGTGCCGCCGGCGATGTGGCACGGGCCAAGTATAAAAATATGATTTATGGCGGAATATAGCACCGCACATCCGCTCTATCCCTATCTAGTTCACCGCTATTACCACATAATCTGAACTGTATAGTGTATTGATACTCTTGTTTATTATTGTAACATTAATGCCAGTCATTCTCTTTTGTATTCGATACTAGAATGAATAAACATATTTTTTGTAACTTTTTAAAAACACGTTCTTGTGTTGTGTATTACTATACAATTGTATCTATTAGAGCTACAGTAATCAATGTAATCGCTTTAGAAGAAATCAATGTTCCTTCTAAAGGTTTTGAAGGACCATCTAAAATTAAATCACTTTTTGTGGTATAATTTATACATTACTATTTTATTACCACTAGTGAATACTTCAATTGTTTTTGGGTTCCAAAATAAGACGTATAATATACATAGATCAAGACAAGTTCGTGAACATGTTTTAATAACTACAATTTCGGCTCCAAGGGAACCCCAACAAGGTCTGCAAAATTAATTCTGAAAGTTTCTTTAATAATAATGTTGGATGGTCTTTGGAGGTTTGTGGGGTTTCTATGCCGTCTGTATTTACAATAGCGTCGCGGTATATGATGTTTTCTGGCTTCGGGCTCTTTATTATTGCCTAGAGGAGCGCTACGCTGTCGAGTACAGAGGGTGGACACAGTTGGGGTTGTGAAGGTAAACAAATACAACTGATTCACCTATTCGAACTGATAAACTGGCATCTATTTGCCACAATATTTTTAAACTATACAAGTACAACATGAATTTTTATCAATTTAATGTACATCTAAAAATAGTTCAGCAGTATCCTATGGTTTGTATGTTCAAAAGCGTGAGTTTTCATGTCGAGCTTTAAAAGTCTTCGGTTTTATCAAAAGCTTTGTAATTTAGTGCGTGAATGGCTTAACGATGACTGCTACAAGCTTTATCTTACCGCTGCCTAATGTTTTTTTGATTTCTATAATTTATGTCGTATCGTATAAATGTTCAAAGCAACGCAACAATATCTTTTGTTATCTAGAAATATAAACAGCTAGTGGAATGTGATAGAAAGCTAATAAAACATTGCAATCAAGATAAACAGTAAAAAAACAATAATAAATCAACTAAACGGTGTGATTACTTCGGTTTAAAAGCAAGCTTTTGTGTGTGAGAGTAGATAATATGTTTTTCTATAATAAAAAATCACTTACCTCGGGTCTACGAAGGGCTCAGCGTAGATATTTCTGACAGGCTGTCGCCGCGGCAGAGGCGGCGGAACAGGGCTGAAGCCCTCCATCATCTCGTCCCTTTCGCTGTACTTCAGCGATTTCATCGTCATCTTTTCAATAGTATCCAGTTTCTTAGTCCACTGCACGATTAGATATTGACCACGGCAGTCAACATCTCACTTATTTCGCGTCCCCTCTGTCACATCTTATTACACTACAAAATATCCATTGATACAGTTCTTAAATTAAACACCACTTAAAGTCTTAATTCACTTAATCGTTCGTGTTCGTCATATTCAATTCAGGATTGTAACTTTAATCGGAAACAGATTTATTTGTGAGCGCGTCGCGATGTGTGGAGGCGCGCGTCTCGATGTGACCTGCCCCGTTGAGTGATACCGACCGACTAGCACGCTGCACGCTAGCGACGTGCGACGTGCGACGAGCGAGCTTTGACTCGGTCCCGCACCAAGAGCGCGACCCTTCGTCTTTTGTAGTTTTTGCGCCCGCGCCGAGGTGCCACAAAAGCTCGCCGAGTTATTAGACGGGGAACAAAAAATACCAAAGCACACAAAATATGTAAGTAATAGACCTGACGCAACAGAATGAAAAAAGCTCGATCCGCTCGAATGTGTATAACGGCGTGATGCGGTTACATTTATGAATTTTGAAGAACGTATTGTGCGAAGTGTGAATAGAGAGGTTTTAAGGATTAAGAGTTTTAAAGAAAAGCGTTAAGCATACAGCTTCCGTTGAAATTAAAAAAAAACTTCAATTAAAGTCCGCTTCAAAAAAAAAAGTATAAATTAATCCTAAGCGGTGTAAACCGATTTTTCATAAATGGTTGTATTTTCTTTCAATAATCAATTACTAAATCATACCGTTGTTTGAAAATTCGATATGAAGAGAGCATGGGCAAAACTCACTATAACTCAGATTCATATGTTAAACATGCAAAATAACTTTGTCATACGCAGCATTACGTATTCATCCCGTGCTTTTGTTACAAACGAAAAAAAAAAACATTATTGTACCGAAATGGGACATTTGCTGACATTTGAATTCTGAGTCATAAAAACATATTCAGAAAACGTCAGTATTGTCGCTTGTTTTTTTGTGCTCCGCGAGTAGAGTAGGCTTAACGTAAATTGCATATCATAGTCCTTGGCTCCCCCAACCCGAGCTGTGCTGGGCGCCTGGTTGATCTCAGTCAGCGCTTTGCATGTCAAACAATTACACTCACATATATTGTCGACGACAAACCCGTGCACCCGTTACCCTTTTCACTGGAATGTGTACTTTTAAATCGCGTCACCCTAACACAACCTTTTATTTACGATCTAGAGAAATCCTTTTAAACTATGATTTAGTAAACTAACGTAAATAGTGAAAGTACAACTTTTATTAAACAAAACGTGATTTAAACAGATAAGGCAAAGAACTTATGTTAAAACATATCCTATGGGTTCGAATAATCTCACAAGGGTAAGGAACGAGAATATAAAAAAGAAGCTTAGAGTTTTCCATACGACTTCCAAGAATCTACGCAAATTTCTATACATATGTACGTTATTTACAAGCGAGTAAATACAGCCAATGTCGAAGTGTCTCCGAGTACCTGTATAAATTGATTTAAGCGTCTCTTGACAGATTTAAGTATGTTTCGACAAACATTAGGGAGTTTAAAGCCCAAACGAAGGGAAACTTTGCTCAAGGTCATAGAAAAGACGACATTCGCAAGGGATTATACAAAATTGTGAGTTTGAATTTCTTATTGACTCTAATGTTATATTGAATATGAACGAAACATTAATTTGACAAAAATCTGCACCTACGATAATTCTATTAATGAAACTTAGTAAATATTTTATTTTGCATTAACCACTATTATGTCAAAGGGAATTGGTATTTAACCCTTTCTTCCTATTTACACTAACTAATAAAATGTTAAAGTACTTATTCATAACGTCAATAAATAACAAGATAAGTCGTAAATTTACATCAAAGATAAAGGCATTTCAAATAACTATTGCAAAGACATAAAATGAATCATTGCTCCAGTTGGTAAAGGTAAGACTTTAATCACTATATTAAAATTGAATAGAACTCAAATATCTCAGCTAAGCGTCATGTTACGTCGTGTTAAGGATTATTTATTGCAGTATGGCAAAGATCAATAAGAGATTACAGCAATTGAGAATCGTAAGGGAAGTCGACTCGACGCAAAATGTGATACGACATGAATTTCAACTTATTAAGATTTATCTTCAATCCATTACATTAAATCCTGGTCCTGCTATTATTTAGAAGCAATAAAGAGTGAAATAACAACTTACAGATAGATTTTAGAGTGGAAATATAAGTCTATGTCTGCTACGATTGCTGCCTGGACATATATGGCAACTAGGAAGGGAACGGCATTGCAAACGAATGCTTTCCCATGGCATAGACATCTGGAGGTATTTCTATACGACCTGATAGGGGAGTTTTTCTTGCATTTCAACTTGTAGTGCTACCGTTATTCGCGTAATGTCGATGTAATAAAGAAATCCATAGAGTAATCTATTTAAAGATTATAAGTATAGTTATACAGGACAGTATGTTTACTATCATTATGCCCATTAAAAACTAGCTATGCCACTTTGTTTATCTCTACAACAATCCACTCAAGTCTGTCTGCAGTTTTTATTTATAGATATGCGACAAGATTTATATTTGTATTCTCGTTAAAGTGAAATAACATCAAAAATATATGTCCATTCGCCTCCTACGTTAGTTTTTTACAAGTCACACGAAATACGTCTTAAAATAGATTTGTTATTGGTTGTAAACAATTCCGACTCAGTTTACGTCGTTCAAACAACGCAAGCAATAACACTGTGGCAATTAACGCTGCATTGTTTAAATTATAAGATCTTTGTAGTTCACTCGAGAGGGCAGTTACTCTAATAAATACGTTTTACAAGTGTTCACGCTAACATTAACGGCCCGCTTCTTACTACGAACCAAATTAATCTCGGCTCTTGTCCCAAATAAATTTCGACACCCGTCAGCCAACTGCGTCACAAAAAATTACTCAGCTATTTTAATTAGCGTAAAGGTTCCCGTTTCTTGGATACAAAAAAATGCCAATGAATCTTCTCACATTTGACATCTGCGTTCTCGTTGACGATAAAATTTAAGGAATGTTTTTTAAATAATATTGCAAGTCTTTGTTACAGAAAATTAGTTAAAATCGAAATTTATAGGATGAAATTGATATGAAAATTAAGATTAGACATTAATTAAATGCCAGGAGTTTGAAAGAGCGTACGAACAAATGAATGTTGGAGAGAAGTTTGGATTAATTATCGGTATCTTGGCTTATGTTTGTTCGTTTATTCTCGCGTTAGCAGCCCTGGCGGTGGTGTGTGTGCGATGGGACTGTGTGTGTGCGTATGGAGCACGTTTCATAAGATAAAAGACGATATTGATTCCGTGACGAGGCGAGTGCGGCCCGCAGCCCGCCTGTGGGAAACCATTCCTGTCTGTCTTAATAGATGCCTCGAGGAGATGAGTGTTACAACACTCTTTGTTAAGACTGCACTTTGAAAAAGTTCGAGTTCAAATAAGTTATAGGCGTTTAATAAGTTTTCGTCTCGAAATTCTAACAGTTCCAATTATACGATATTTGCTTATTACAAATTATTGCAGGAATTTTAATGAACTTCATGTTTTCTTTTATTCTAAACCTTAAAAAGAAATAGATACTATCTTTCGTAAATAACTTATGGTGTTAATTGAAGTAAATTATTTTTTTAATGAAGACTACTTGTTATAGGCAACATAATAAAGTTAAGAGTAAATCATTATTGTTAATGTAAAAAATGATGAAGCTTTTAAGCTCGAACATAAAAAATAATTCGTCCCAATAACCACGTTTTAATTAAAATGTACATTACATGCAAATGGGTACAATTAAACTCGGTCGAGTGCCAGAAGCGGTGTGGAATTAAAGCGACATGACAATTTTTGTGTCGTCTGCATTAGTTAGTGAAATTTGCAACACGTACATTAAGTTTCCGGGAGTAATTAACGAGTTAAGGACACAACGGCGCTCACGGAGCACTTTATTCCTAGTTTAGAGTCAGGGAGGTTGCGGCAGGACTCGCCGCATTCCCGTCGCTCGCCGGGCAATTACACACGCCTCACGAACAACCGAGCCTTGACTAACATTTTATGCCTCATTTCGGACTATATGATTTGGCGCACACATAATTTAGTGTAATTGTCGTGGGATTGATGCTCGCAGCTCGCGTGCGAATCAAATCCACTCATCGACGCGGCCCATTGTTTCAGCATCCATCATTTGCTCTGTATGATGAGTGAATTCAGTTACAATTGCTTTGGATAATGTAATACAATACCTCATTGGTTTGCTGATTACAATTGCGCTCCATATTTGGTACGATATTGAGCTATTAACATTATTAATACCTTTCTCATTACTTTTTTGTATTTCATTGTTATGTTGCTTTTAACAATATACACAATGATCTTATACATGCACATGTATATGTTCGATGGATTATTTTTTCATAAATAAATTTTATCATAAAAAAAACGGATGTTAAACCAATCAAATCGTAACTAACAGAATATAAACTAAAAATTAAACCGTCACAAATACCAATGGCCACATTTTAGTTTTGAAATAACTCCATAAATAAAGTCAATAAATAATCTTGTGAGTGCACCGACAATTTGCCAATGAAGAAATATAAGATCAAACGTTTTCAGTTATATTACATCCGACGGGCGATGCTTTGCTCGTTTTTCGAAGCGCGCTATAAGCGATAGACTGGACTGCATCATTCAAAACAACTTCTTCGCGAAATAGGTTTAGAAGTGAGGAAAATAAAATTCTTATGCATGTTTTTTCTCCGTCCGTTGACACCTTATTTTTAACGGTTAATTTGTCATCGGGCCCTCCATCTGTCAACGCTTTTTTTTCTTTAAATACACCTAATCTCGTATTAGAAAAATCGAAAACATATTTGTATAGATTTTGTATTCTTTTTGGAAAATAGAGCCTTATTTATTTTTATTTAGTTTCTTCTATCAAAAATTTAAACTTTTTGTGAATAGATAGTACGGATTTTCAAAGGATTTCTTTTTTCACAGCTGTCAAGTATATTGCGAAGAGTCAAGTTGGAGGTCGGATTAAAATGATAGGTTACGTGGTAATTCCATTAACAAAAGCAGTAAAAGAAAATCAATGTGTGATAATAGTAGAGGTGAGTTCCGCGGTGTCATTAATGATTATTATGGTCATAGAATTGTTTCTAGAGCATAATGGCGGGAAGGTGGGGAAAGGGCGCGCCCGGAAATTGTCCTCTTGTCGGACCACCGCCGCATTAGCCGAAGACATTAAGCTACGCTGGCAATA